TATATATATATATATAATTTTTAAAGATTTCGTAGATTAATTTAGAATAATTACAAAGTCACATTTATTTTGTTTTCACACTTCGAATCTAATTTGAAGCTTGTAAACTTTGATTGAATTTTATTCTCTTAGGACAATACACATTATATATTACGTATTATTTGTCAACAATCTCATACGCTTACGAGTTTCACTCGAACAACATTTTTTTAAATCTCGTATAATTATATATTCGGTACAATAAACCAAAAATGCCCAGTCATAACCATTACAACATTACGTATAAAACCATGTAAAATTACTAGCGAGTGCTTCTAGGTGAATGTGACAATGTTCCCATAGGATAAAAGGCAAGTTCATAAGAGAAGAAATGCCTAAGATTTAATATTGAAAATATTGAGGAATTTGTGAAGGGAGTACAGAATAATTAGAAAATAAATAACTGCTGCCAAAAAGCCAGCAATAAGAGCTCCTGTAACGTGGTCACAGAACTTTGGAACTTGCCCACAAATTGGTAGCCAACCTGCATGACTGTTCCCTTTCTTCCCCACCTGTCCTATAGCCAAACATGCTGATATGCTTGAATCCAGCAACAATGCCATTATCTGTAAATTTGTTTTAAAAAAAGAAAAAAAAAACTCATTATTGGCCTATATTTATCATCTTTAATCTAAAAAAACCGTGAACAAATGTCGAACTTTGGAGTTCTTGAAATAAGTATCTCGTCACTTTTAGTCTAAAGCCAACCTAAACAAGTAGAGGATCCGATGCAAAATGATTGGGCACCCTATTAACGGGTTCCCTCGTTGGCAAGCCTAAGGTCCGATCATGCATAGACATATTTATAAAATTGTGCAAAGTGTCAAGATTTTGATGAAGAAATGAATGTGGTATGCACAAAAAGGGCTTGTTGAAGTTAATATAGTAACAAAGGTTGTCCTCTCTATGAAAGTTTAAGGCCTTAGACGAGGTTGTTTAATAATACGCAGAACACTTGTGATGTTTCTTACCAAATCAAAAACCAAGATCAAGTGTCCACAAGAACTCTTGGAAGGGAAAAAGAGCATTATAAGGGTGTAACCACTTGCTATTGCATTTATTAACGCGAAATACCTGCGAAAAAAAGAAGCAGAAATATCATAAGCAATTTCTATAACAACGATACATAATCAAGAACATTATGGAGTAGTCTTACTTGAAAGTTGGTGAATTTGTATACTTGGCTTCAAATTTCATGTTCAAGACTTGTGCAGTGTCCTTGCTTGTCACCATGATCACAGTTGCTGTAACCGCGGCGCCTAAGGCCAGGAACCTGAGCAAAAAAATGGGAATTCTCTTGGCCAAATTCATGATCAAATATGTATATTTTTCTATATGAATTAACACTGTATGGAGAGATTATATAAATGAAAAACAACAAGTACAATGGAGTTTGATTTAATCTGTGGAAAAAGGAGTAGAATGGAGAGATTAAAGAAAATGTGTTAGGAAAGACAGATAAGTGGGAGGTGAACTTGTCTTCTTGTAGATCTTTTCGGGTGTCATATTCTTGGTCACCTAATGATAGGTGCGCAAACCATTGGAGCCATGTGTACCCCCATATACAAATTCTCTTACCAGTCAAGTATTACTTCCAATCATGTACTAATAAAATAGAGAAAATGAGTTTATTCAGCCGTGTTTGACAACAATTATAATATTTTGAATAGTGATTTTTAAGAGTGCGTTGTTAAAAAGTAGGAAATTTTTTTTAATTTACGTACAAAATATTTCATCGTGTGAATATATGATTGAAAATGAGTATGCAGGAAAAAAGTTTGAAAATAATTATTATCAAACACGGGCTTAATCACCCTATATAGTTTCGAACACATAAAAATACACTCAATTGCTTATATAATTGTGGGGATTGAGAAGACGTGTGGGGTTAATTATTCGATATTATAAGTGATTCTTGAATTTTTACTCCAGTGTTTCTCTAAAATTGACTTTGGTTAGAAAGATAAAACCTCTATTTGGTGGGGATTAAAATCAAATTTGTAATATATTTTAATAAAAGTTGATAAAATGTGAGATTGAAAAGTTGTAGATCTCATAAAATATGTAATTAAAATTAATTATTGATTTTGACTTCCTACTAAACATGAACATAAGATAATATTTAGTACTTTTTATATTTTTCATCTATAAATTAATTCATTATGGGCGAATTCACCCAATAATTGAAACCATTGATCTCATTATCAATATTGGCGACCGCTAATTGTAGGTGTGATTACAGGTAAAGATGTTCGAGGACGACTCGGCTGGGAAGCGTGTATTCTGTTCAACTACCAACCGGCTGAGTGTGTACGGCTCTTACCAATGATAATTACGTTGGCAACAAATTGTAATAATTTAGTTAAATTTTAATGATTAATAATTATGTGGGCCTACAACTTTTGGGAGGATAAAAAGATGGAAAATTTTGGGTATTTTAACTCATATTTGCCTCTCATTCTTTTTTTTAAAAAAAAATTTCTATATACTTATTTTCAACGATACATTCACAAAATAAAATATTTTACAAATAAACCCAAAATCTTATTCTACTTTTTAATAACACATTCTTTAAAAAATCACAATTTAAAACAATATTTTTTTTTTTCAAAAAATTAACCACTAAACAGGAGCTTAACGACCAATCAAGATTTACAACTTTACAATTGATAACCACATTAAACACAAAATAAATTTGTTTGTCACTCAATTCTATAAAGATAGAAATTCTATAAAGATAGATTACTTTCATTTATACACAGATACAAAATATATAGTTAAAAATAGAAATTTTACTTATTATTTTTCTAAAGGATAATTAGAACAAAACGTCCTTATTGTTTGCACTCATTGCGCAAATCATTCCTATCATTTCAAATTTAACATTTACATCATCATTCCAACATTTTCTTGCAGAGTTGGTCATTTCGGTCTCATTTCGCAAGTCCCTTCCATCAAATATAGATAATTGGTGCAAAACGTCCTTATCGTTTATTTTCTTTATTAAAGCATTGTAAAATAATTAATTTACCATTATATATAAATAAACAAATAGAAAATAAAGAAAAAAAATATAAAAAAAAATATCAATTGAAATCAAAATCCTAAAATTTTCAAACAGTGAAAGTGGGATCTACTTAAAATAATTTAAAATATATTAACAAAAAAAAAAACTCACCTTCCCAAAACAAATTATTTTCCTCTTAACTGAGTTTGAATTAAAACAATTAGGATTGGAGTTTAGATTAAGATCTTGAATGAACTCTCTAATGAAAGAAGAAATCTCATCTTCACACCATTTTGTGAAGCAAAAGAAACTTGAACAAAATTAGAGCAAAATTTTAGAAGTTGATGAAGTGTGTATATATCTATGTATGTAATGAGCAACAAAAATACAAATACAAGAATTTGCAAGAATTAGCTGAAAATAGCTGGACCCCTAAAAAAGCTCTTGTAATTGTGTTGAAAATAAAAAGATATTGAAACACGAAACTTAATCAATAGGAAAATAGCTAAATCCTTCGATGGTACCACAATGGGATAGAGAGAATGGGTGATGGGGGTAGGGGTGACCGTAGGGTACGGAACTGAATAGGGAAGAAGAACCATTTCATTTTTGTTTTTCTATTTTTCATTCATTTCTTATACTTTTAATTCTCTTTTTAAATATTTTGGTGTTGGTGGAAAGTAGAGAATGTGGATAGGGGTAGGTGGTGTTAAAGATGATATATTATATATAGTTAGTATGTTTTAAATTGTTTTGCTTGAGATTTGTTTGTACGTTTTTAAAAACGAATTGAAATTCTAACTGCAATTATTTATATATTTTTATACTAATTTTTTTTCCTATTTGTTTATTCAAAGAAGGGGCTAAATTAATCATTTTACAATGATGAAGAAAATACATAATAATGACTTTTTCGCAATGAAATCAAATGATATTGAGCTTTGCACAATCAAAAGCAATCGATATTGACGTTTTACACCAATTGGAAGTGACAGAATGAGACGGAGATGGCCAACTCCGCAAGAAAAAGGTGGAAATGAGGGTGTGAATGTTAAATTTGAAATGATAAGGACGATTTGTACAATGTGTGCAACGATAGAAACATTTTGTGTTAATTACTCAATTTTCTTATGTACACTACGTTAAATAATGGTTTAAATAAGAGTAGTTCATATTTATTGATAACAAAACACATTAAATAAGAACATATTAGAAAAAAATTAAGAAATCAACTATACTCACAACAAAGAAAATGACATATAATTTGGGGGCGTACGAAAAAAGAAAGCAATCATATCTCTAAGGGACGGATGAAATATAAATTAAACTGTAAGCATTGATTTGAACATAGTTTTAGTGCTGCTGTTAGTTTGTGGGAGTAGGGGTTTGAATTTCCCTGAAAACTTTTAAGGTAAATACTCATGATTTATAACGAGAATTTGGTGCGAATGGTTCTAAACTTAAGGTTCTTGTGCGATTTCGAATCCTCACATTTTTTCCCTTCGCATACATCCTCGACATATAGTTTGGGCGCGTAAATGATCATTTTTTACGGATTTCATATATTCATTAGGGGCAAATGGATGAAGTGTCAAGAATTTTGAGGCTGGATAGGATTAAAAAATGCCTATGTACAGCCTTGCTTTGTAATTCATTTATATTTAATAATATTTTTTATGATTTAAATTGAAAAAACTTATAAATAAAATAAAATATATAATATAATAAAAAATATTGGGTTAGGTTCGGGGAATTCAGGGGTGGACAATGTTCCCTGTCTCCACCATTTAAGATTTGAGTCAAGGCGAGACGATTAAGATTTGAGTCGAGGCGAGACGAAAAGGGTGGAAACGGATAATATTGTCATCCCTAACATTTGACTGTTAAATAGTCAATTTTTATCAAGACTATCGTGTCTTAGTTTTTATTAATTAATTAAATATAATTAAAAGTTAAGACTCTATTTGACGCACATTTATTCCTCATTTTAATAAAAAATGCTACCGTTGCAACAGTAAATGCTACGGTGACGTAACCGCAATATTTGAAAACACTAAAGTCAGCCACTTGGCAATTGAAATGTCATAATTGTCCTTTTTTTAATTTGGCATAGAACAAGTGAGGGGCAACAAGGTATTTTCACACATTAATTCAACTGATTTAGGCAACACAGTCAAACATGTCTGCCAAAGTGGGCCAAATTTACTGTATAACGGTAGAATTTTTCATTCTCATTTTCGGATAAATGTGCACCAAACATGGACTAAATGAATGGAATATGTTGACCCCAAAAAATGGTTCTAACTCATGGTCAACAGAAAATATGAGATTTACATCTTCGTGAGTCTAATCGTAATATGCTCGAATCTAGCAACTATTTGCATTGGTCAATCAGTGAAAGGGATTATCCTCAACGTTTTGTATGTTGTTGTTATAATTACTTTTCGTATAAGAAGGAGGTCGGCTTCTGAGTGTTACAGAGAGAATTGAGTTTTACTTTTGATGGCTCAAAATGCATTATCCTTTCATGGTGCTATGTATGGCTTTTTATACTAAGTGTAACGAGGAACCTGGCCCATTGGATGGCCAAGCACGTGGTACATTAGATCCAAGGGTCTTTATTGACGTCAATCAATTAGTCAATCAACGCCATTTAATGTTAAGATCCTCACATGTGTGTTGTGGATCTTATACCTTAGGCACGTAGGGGTGGCGCTTGCAGCGTTGTCTTGTCAATCACTTCACAAGGTTTGCTGGGATTGACTAACCACCTCTCCGAGACTGGGTTCGTACCAGGGGCCTCCTCAATAAAAAATGAGGGTCGGATGAAACAGCTTTAGATGGATTGGGCATCGGATTGCGTTGAATCGGGTCGCCCCTCTTGCGCGTGCCCATAAATCTATGCCGTGTAATTTTGTCCATTTGCCACGTGGTGTGTTTTGTTTACGATTATTTATATAAGTAACATCAGTCCCCTAAGTCCAGGTATGATTATTAATAACTTACGTGGACTTACATTGTAGGGCAGTTGGACTTGCATCAATAAAGGCGGTTCTCTGCAAATTTATTGAACTATGAGGTGTAGCCTAAGTGTGCGGATGAACCGCATAGGGACCGAATCTTCCGGGGACGAGGTCATTTTTTAGGAACCACCGAACCCCTGTTTGAGGTTAGAGTCCCTGACCGACGCGTTTTGAGGGGTTAAAAAAGGCTGGTTCCCAACGAACGACGGCTGAATATTCTAGTCATTCTCAATACTTGAGCGACGTGCGTATTTAATGTGCAATGATGATGAAACCGCACC